CTAGCAGAATGATCTTATCTACCGATGCTTACATGTGTTTATAAAACGAATCTGTTTTTATGACTATGTGATTTTTGTTTTGTTTTGACCGCTCCCTTTCATCTTTTGTTTAGGACGTGCTACTGCAAAGATGCCAGGAACTAGAAGACACGCAATAGATCATGACAAGTTGTATTTGCGCCTGCCTCCAAACATCGATCCACTCGTCACACATACATATATATCTGTACATATGTACATACGGTACATGTAGGAAGCAAGACGATTCCCTGAATGTTACACGAGCGAATGAACGAGAATCTCCTGCAAGGTATTATGTCGTCAGAATTCTGTACAACATCTGCTGCGGTCAACCCACATCAGTCTTGGTGCCATACGTCTTTCTGCCTGATGACCACTATCTTCCTACCACTTTCCCGATCTCTCCAGAACAGGAGTTTCAAAGTCCTACTGCAGAAATAGAATGTCTCTTCCACAGGATTATTGATTTCCTACACAGGAATAATGACTACAGGCCACAGGTTCAGATATGCTGAAATATTCTTGAGGAGGGCTATTGGCGTCCTACCACAGGACAATTATGTCTCTTCCACCCTATATTTGAGCCCTAAACAGGAATCAAATGTCTCTACCACAGGACTATTGACGTCCTATTGCAGGAATATCATGTCTCTACCAAAGGACAGGGCTATTGCCTTCCTCTACAGGAGTATCACGGTTCTACCACAGGACTATTAACGTCCTATTGCAGGAATAACATGCCTCAACCATAGGACAGGACTATTACCTTCCTCCACGGGAATATCACGGTTCTACCACAGGACTATTGACGTCCTATTGCAGGAATAGTATGTCTCTACCATAGGACAGGGCTATTGCCTTCCTCTACAGGAATATCACGGTTCTACCACAGGATTATTGACGTCCTATTGCAGGAATGACATGTCTCTACAATAGGACAAGGCTATTGCCTTCCTCCACCACCACAGGAATATCATGGTTCTACCACAGGACTATTGACGTCCTATTGCAGGAATAACATGCCTCAACCATAGGACAGGACTATTACCTTCCTCCACAGGAATATCACGGTTCTACCACAGGACTATTAACGTCCTATTGCAGGAATAACATGCCTCAACCATAGGACAGGACTATTACCTTCCTCCACGGGAATATCACGGTTCTACCACAAGTCTATTGACGTCCTATTGCAGGAATATCATGTCTCTACCATAGGACAGGGCTATTGCCTTCGTCCACCACCACAGGAGTATCACGGTTCTACCACAGGACTATTGACGTCCTGTACAGGAAAAACGACTACTGGCCCCAGGATCACATATCTTGAGACTCTTTTGGGGAGGTTATTGGCTACCTACCACAGGAAACGTTTGTCTCTTTCACCTTTATATTCAACTACAGGAATATAATATCTCTTCCACTGGACTATTGATTTCTGACTGATTTCTGATTTCAGGAATAATGACTACAGACCACTGGATCACATATGTGACATCCCTCGAGGCTCCGGTCTAGGGCCTCTACTCTTTACCCTTTACACTAAGCTTTTGGAAAACCTACTCACTGATCACAAAATTGACTACCACTCCTATGCAGACGATTCCCAGCTGATGAAAGGATTTGCTTTGGGCATAGCAAGTCAAGAAGAGGCACGTCTTATGGAATCATGTATTGCTTGTATCAAGTCTTGGATGACGGATAAAATGCTCAAATGTAATGCAGATAAAGCTGAAGCAACAGTAATTTCTACGCCTCCAAAGACTACAAAAATGTTGCATCAGCAGTCTCACGTTTGATCAGGAATCCGTTTCAATCTCATAGTCCTTTAAAGATCTTGCTGTCAACCTTGACTCGTCTTTAACCATGGAAGACCACATTAGTTGTCCCTGCAGAACGTGTCACTTCCACTTCAGGAACATTGGTCATATTCGGCATCTTCTCACTAGAAATGCCACTGCAACACTCATGCGCTCACTTATTCTTTCCCGCCTGGACTACTGCAACAGCCTCTTCTACATGGCATTTCTAAGGATCGGTGTCACAGACTGCAAAGAGTGCAGAATACAGCCGCAAAGCCGGTTACTAAGATTAAGCCTAGAGAACACACAAAACCTGCACTCAAATCACTCCATTGGCTACAAGTCCAGGAAGGAATACAATTTAAAGTCTGATGTCTTGCCCACCAATCAGTCTACAAGACCTCCCCTCCATATCTTCAAACTCTTACTGCAGTGTATCAACCTTCCAGAAACCTTCGTTCGGATGATAAATTCCAGCTTTCTGTGCCTCCCTACACGTTGAATACACTTGGTACCAGATCCTTCAAACACTCTGGTGCTGTGCTATGGAACTATCTTCCCCATCACCCCATTACGTTCACCTTATGATCGCTTTGTGGGAAGAGACCCTGAAGACCGTTAGCGCCTGTACATTTTTTCATTGGGACAGCCTGGGACTTTCTTTTTTCTATATCCCTTGTATATGACTTCCACAGTTTGTCATATCCACCCTCCACGTATCATGGTAACCCTCTACGTAGCAACTTTCTCCACTGACTGCCAGAACCACAGACTTTAACTAGCCCTAGAAGACAATTGCTGCATTCATTCACTAGCTGTAGCACATTTCTCCTAAGGACTAAACGCGGATCCGGAAACCTGTTGTGTTCCTGCTGCAGCACGTGTCTACTTTAAGGATCCCACGACTGCTAGATTTCTGCCACAAAAACACCGTCCCTTTCATAGAATAACTTCGATTTATATTTTTCCTTAGTTCAAACCTGGCGGTTACAGTTATAACGAAAGCATAATTCATTTGTTGTATAAAGATAGAATATCATTTCCGAGAGACGCCATATGTCTCACCACTGTGTGAGCGTCACAGAAAAGTACTAATACTTATAAAAGCCGATAAACATACTGAGTATTTAGGACACGAAAGTTTCATATTTCAGAATGAAATTAAAAAATTCCAAAGTTATTGTTTGCTAAACTAACTAAACTATGTTCTAAATATTAATTGCGAAGTTTGAGAGGTACCCAGACAAACAAGGCCTGAACAATCGAGCAGCTGCTGTGTATCGATGTCTTGTCAGTGGATATACATAGTTATGCTCATGAGGTTTTGAACACGTGCTGTTGTTTTGCTTGTGTCGCTCATAAATACGTTATCTAACAAACTTGAACTGGCATTTTCCGGGAATACATCGCTTGATTTAGATCCATCCTTGATGCATAGGGTAATGGTAACGTTTATTAAACTCAGTAACAAACGTGAACACATTGGTGTATAGACACCGGATGTCAACATGTAATTATATTTTCATCATGCATTTGACATACCCAGCACATTCATATTCACATGTTCCACAATGATTTCCACATACTTTACCAAAGCAAGATAAATAACACAGTCTGTTCAGTCCGAGAGTAGGTCCGGTATACCTGTGGTCAGAATTGGAAATAGGCTTTTGCCAGGACAATGTCACAAAACAAAAAAGAGACACTTTGCTGGGGATGACAATAAGAGAGACCATGGTACTGTGTCCTTAAGTCGAAACAACAGATCTTGTGGAATGGTGTATCAAGCTTATGTATGTCATTATGGTGCAGGGTTATATCAATGACATGAGAGGTGTTTACTCATGTTCAGAATTCCATATAAAGGTAGTTTTTACTATTTCCCCATCTATTTGAAGAGTTTAACTAAACTCATTTACCGGATTCTCCACCTGTACATATTCTGTATGTTGTGACATATAGTTTCTTTAAAACTGTTTAAAGACATTTTAACGGATTTCTTTAAAAGTATGAAATATCTGACGTTGCTTCTTAAACTTTTAGCACTAAAAGTGGATTGATAGTATTATCGAACAAAACAGATATAAAAGTCAAAATTGAGGTGAACATTTGATAACATAATGCATCCTTAAAATGTTAACAATGGATAATTTGTGCCCAGAATCCAAATGTGCACATATCGTTGACAGAAGCGTTAGGTACCGAAATATACCTTTACTGACATCTTCACGTTAACCATTCCTACGTTCATCACAATGAACACTGTGACAATAACAGTTTTTGTGAATTTAAACGTCCCTCTTTCGAATTATTTCAGGTACTCCAACAATGAACAAAAATATGCCGATATCAAGGACGTTAAAATCTATATATTAATGTACATCTGTTTCCATCATTCACTGACCATTAAATGAGAAACCTTGGTTACAGAATATTTGCATCCCAAAGGTAGTTGAAAAAATAATGTGTGGATGTTCCCGCAGATTCATATGAATGTGATGTACACTGTACAATGTCTCTGTTGTATATAATGTACACATACGTGTAATTTGGGCAATGATCAAATGTGCTGTAGTAATCTTTTTATATGCAAGACGTTCATTACGACAAGCATCGCAAGAGAAAACTGCTGTTACACTTGAATGTATTGATTCAGTTGATGCTTTCAATGACATCAGCCTACAACCAAGTGTCGTTGAAAGCCAGAAAATACCTACGCTATGTTTCAAGGGCCATTTTCAGACAGCAGTAAAGCAATGAAACGTCTCCACATTGAATGTCGAATATTCACTTTTATGTACATAGATCAAACCGCTTTACAACTGATCTTTCACGACACACAAAATGCACGTATGCTGATAGGATCAATTCATCGTATACAAGGACAATGAAGCTTTCTATAGGTAGTGCAGTAAACCTTTCAATACAAAATCAAACTGCTGTTACATTATGTACATCCTACGAGGACAATATATATATATGTACCCACGCGAAATGTCATTGTTTGCCAAAATGTATAGTCCGAGTTTTATGGTTCCGACAGTTCTACAGATCATGTATCGTTCCACCTGATTACATTCACAGATACTTTGATGTACGCAGGTGATGTTTAATCTTGTCCTTGGCTGTATAAGAAAGTAGCTACAATGTGTATTCATATACAAAATAAACTCATTGTTACACATTAAATCATTTTATTCAAGAAAAAAATGATGGCAGCAGCTGTTGGACAGCCACACGTAAGTCGTGGTATTATTACTGGTAGGGTACATGCTTCGTACAGGCAATGTTAAAAATATAGAAAAGACAGGGGAGACAATTACACCGAGTTTCTTTGCTACACAAGGGGTCGAGTGAGACTATACTAGTCGATAAAACATCAGACCTAGCGCATACATCGGCCTAAAATCGATACCTAATATGTTTGTTTTGCTTCGATATCTTAAATTGATTTGGGTTCTTCAGCGAGATTCTAAATGACTGAGTCCCATATAAATAACAGAACAACGATGCATTCCACACAACGTTCGTTATCTTTCGATGCTATATCCACTTATATATAATGTAGAGAGGAAGGATGGGGCAAACTGATTTATATAGGAATACGAGAATCAGTTTCATGTTTCTAATCATTGGCCGATGTATGTAAAGTTTCTTTTCATTGAAATTTACAATAACTTAGTGCATATGGTGAGAAATATTCATGAAATTAAAGGATGTGTTGATTATATGAAATATCTTATCCGGCCAGGTAAACTATCGTGACTAACGATAATACTACGTGGTATATCAAACAAATATTTGTTACATAACAATAATTAAAAGTCTACTTCATTGCACGTATAGACGGTCCGGTGCACATACACATCGTACATTAACATTAGTTACATTTAGTCATTGTTTCATCATTTTGATTGTAGCTGTGTAATTGTCGTACAAAATCCAACTACATATTTGAGAAATAAATAAATCTATCTTAGAACTTTTGTCAATGCAACGAAAATATGTTTTAAGTGACCGTCGATTGGATGAATGAGTATTTTGAAAAGAATCTTCGAAAATGGTCACATAACTAAATGACTAATTTGATGAACATCCTCAGTATTGCACATATTGGGTGCTACTAAAGATGTCAATCACATTTTTGGATCCCAAATACTGTAGCACTTGATACTGATAATTGTCTTTGCAAATAACGACTTATGAATTGTCTGAGTTGTTATGTAAACTTAAAGTTAACCTTATCTAAACTGGGACTACTGTAAGGATTGAGGGACGTTCTGGTTAATACTTGCCTTCACTGTTAGTTCTGAGTACATATCCATTGTTGATAATAATTAACATGGATTAAATTTCCTTTCGTTGCTAAAATCAGTCGGTATATTAATTTAGATATAACACAATTCATAACAAAATTCGTTTTCATTTGTAGTAACGGTATCAAAATACTGTTTGTCTCACTGAGTGAGCTGAAGGCGCAACATATAGTCCAACTTTGACGTGCCACGAGTTGTTTAGCTAGGCCGATAGTTTACATATTTTGACTTCTTTTTTACCATATTATAACAGATGAAAACTTGAAACAATAAAAATTCACATTATGACATAACGGCGTTATATAAATATGGATACATTTGAACTAATTTGGAATTGACATCGTGAGAGAGTGGGTAATACATAACCATGCGCTGAGCGCCACTGAGATATCTGCCCATGGTGGGCCATGCTGGGTGAGGTATAAACAGGGGGATTGGATCAATCTATATGCTACGGGGCCACTGTTTTGAGAACACGCTCGTAAGTCCACACAAATCTCACACAAACTCTCTCCGTGTGTGTACACACTCAGTCTGCAACACAATACAACACTAGTTGGAAGTATGACGTCATCAGTTCAATGACGTAATTACGATGTCACATGACTTCTGTTCTGAGCAATGTCCTGCCCATCTGGATGAGTCTATACACTGTCTCTATGGATAGGTAATGCAGTGAACACACGGATACACGATAAACTACGTTAATCTCATTCGTAAACGTGAGATTCTACAGTCATTTTGATCAATGTCAAAAGCCCTGAGACCTTTTTTTCTTACACATAAGAAATATTTTGCTTTAGCGACCACTCACGATATAAGCGTTAGCACTTTCACAACGAAACTGGCCGTGTCATATGTGGCAATGTCTGTGTGTTGTAAAACACCATCACACACTCACAGTCAATACGGAAGTTATAAATAGAACTACCGACACCTCAATGGTTCCTCTCTTGGCCGTCCTTCATAACGCACTGGTAGCCGGCATTGTAACATACATTATGCAAATACATGTAATATATTGTCATATGCATGACTTTCGTCATGACAGTCTTTGAGCATCGTGCGCATGTGCAGTACTGGCAGTAGCCGAGGCTGTATTATGCTATTGAATCCATTTCTTGCAGAATGGTAATGCTATGGCGGAAAGTGATGGGGGAAATGCTTCACGAGTTCGATACCTTCCGTTCACGTTTGGTTTAGCTGCTCCACGTGGATCATCCGGAAGTGATACCTGTCCTTGACCTTGGGTCAAAGCATTTTAATCCAATATTATGCTTCCGTATTCAGTCTGCTAGCCACATAACAGCAGAACTCATATGATTCTTGCAATAGTGGAAGAGCACGTGACCGCCTCACGTGCCATCACATCAAGTTATTTTGAAACAGTTTGAGGTCAAGCTGGTCATTGGATCCTTGGCCAGTATTGTGACGTCATTGAGGACATGTGATGCGCGCCCATGTCTTGATGATTCCCTCCCGGAACCTGGATAGGAACTGACACTCCAGGCGAGATGAGACCTGCAAATCAATAGAACAGCCATTAGTGGTTAGATGGGGAATCTTTTAAAATAACTTGCCATATCTTTATAAGCTCACCTTCGAAATTTCTATTTTGTAGGTTGAATTTGCATTGTTTAACACATTTAGCCCAATTTGGCGAAACCATGTAACCATATAATGTGAGTTTGTAATTTGAAAACAATAAAAACGTATAGACATTAAATAGAAAAACAGATAGCAGCGGGGTTATATGGAAAAAGAACGCTGACAAAGTAATATAATCACAGACGTATTGCCATAACACAAAAAGAAAATGAGATTGAAATACACCAGTGATGCTTGATTTTCCTTCAACTTGTATAGTCGTAAGAAAATCCCCGGAAAATATAACTGAAATGCATTAATTATGGTTGAATATACATGTGCTTCAGTGTAAAGTGCTTGAATTGGCTGAATAAGAAGAAGGTTATTTTAAGAAAGAAGACCATTCCGTACCTGTTGAGGCGCCATTGTGGGCGCTGTGGTTCATATGGGACTGCATGGAGGAACCTGGGTTACATGTCTGGCGGGAGTAGTTGGTTAACGCCAGGGGGTCGTAACTTCGGGGGGTGTAATCTAAACATGAAAAACGAAACACGTTAAAACCATACACCTTCAGACAAACATGGCAGTTACCGTCAAGTCATTATTACTGAAGTGGATACGTTGTCGTCAGTGGCTTGTGTTGTATTCTGTGTGGACGTTACATGAGTGTGTATAATATTACGTTTATATGCTCAGAAATATATCATTTAGCTAGCAAACAGCACGAAACACTAACTTATATGTACTTGTATATCACATATTTATAGATTCAGTCTCCTTTGATTACATATACATTAATTTTGTATATATGTGTGGAATGAGTAAGACTTCTTTTAAAGGCCAACGAATGATTTAAGTTATAGACAGATAACAGTGCAACCCTTTCTGTACATCAAAGTGCTTTATATAAGTTGGTATTTCATGATAATGTAAAAAATGGGTTAAACGCTACATATTGAATTAAAGAGAAAATAGTGTCATAAAACCATCTCTGAATATATATTTACTATTTCTGACAATGTTAACGTACAATCGATGTTTTTGACATTCTCCTCGTGGAGTTTAAATCAATTGTCACAGGTTTATGAAAAAACTAATGTATTGATCTTCACGCGTATGACCCTTACGATAGTACGATGGGCCATTGAGTGCATTTGCAAGCAGTTACCACACGGCACATGAAATGCATAGCCATAGTTGGGGTACAAGTAAAACATATCCTCAAGATAAATTCATAGCTGTGAGAAAATAGTCCAAATGCGCTCAGTTTAAAGATGTTGTACACATGAAACTTGAAAATATGACTTGACTGAAAATCATGCAAATAAATATAATGGTTGTTGTTTGGGGTATTCGTTTTTCTATGACAAGGACAGTAATAGAGGCCTAATAATAACCACAAATCAATATATGGTATATTATGTGTAATAGTTTGTATAACAATACAACACTACAACACAGCACAGCAGCTGGGATGAGATTTAACTCACCTGGTATCATACATGAATAGGAGGAGGAGCTGGATGACTGGAGACAGGCTGGGTTCGTCGGGAGGTTGTTCGACAGAGAATAACTCGGCACAGAGGGGATAGAACTGCAATCATAATAAACAACATTGTCAAATATAATACATCACCAAAACAACTATGATAATGATATTGACTGAATAATAATTTTGTAAAATATAGTACACCACCAAAACAACTATAATAATGAAAATAATACATATTGACTGAATAATAATCGGCTATTTACTTAATATTATTGATTTGATTGGTTATGTTCATTTAAAATGTCAATAACATCTCAAAGAGTATAATTGCTTTTAACTTCATGACGACAAACAATCATTAGAGTATTCTTGATTGCTCAGTAATCAAAAACTGTACCATGAAAAACATTAATGATTAAGAGTGTTTACTTCTCAACCTGTTTCTATTGTTTTGACATAAAATAACTAACCCAAGCGATAACGGGAATTACAAAGTGTTGCTCACAGGGATGTTTCAAGTGTTGATTTAAGTCACAATATCTGTGCAGTATCATGTGTTGCTTTAACACATGTATGAGCCGAAGTAAAACGCAAAGAAATCTAACTAATCATTTCGAAATTAGAGGCTGTCTCACGAGTTTATTTTCAAGTTATGTTGCTTTTACGTGCATATTAATGGCGCACTATATGCATATGAAAGAGATCCACGGAATTTATTTTTCAATTATCCCTTGTATAAACAGATTTTCCAATGGAGACCAGACATTTCCCATTTGCATTAATGAATTTCCCCCTTAAGAGCCAAAGACTAAAGTCTGCATGAAACAACCGTGACATCCTTCTCTATGGTCAATCAACACAGCGTGTGTCCATCACACAAACGTCCAAGCGATATCAATCACTAAGGACATTAACAAAAACACTCCACTCATACAATCACTCCGGTGATGATGCCATTAACATGTGATCGGCCCTTTCGCTAAAAAGCTCAGCTTTTTTTCTGTTTATGTCCCTATTGATTCGGAGGTGGCGCGGCCAGGGAGCAAACGAGTCGAAGCCTGCAGAGTTATGGAAGTCCAGCTGAGACAAAATGCGACATTGTCTGTGAAGGATACCATTACTTAAAGACAAAGCACGACCTAGCGGACAACCTTGCAGTACTCCAGTGTTAGTCTAGGTCTCAAGGGTACACTTCAGAGGCTCTTATTGGTGCTACAACCAACGGGATGTCCTCACCAACTATAGTACAACTCATGATCTTTAGCTAAACAAGCTACTTCAAGGCCCACAGATAATGTGGATATCATTTCAGGATGAAACATTTACTTAACTAATGAATACATTACCCGTGCCTGTTGCAACACCGATTTCCATTACGAACATGTGTATCTGGTTTGGACATTACAATGAACATACGTCCGTTGCATATTTTTAGTTTAGCTGCGATGAATTGCGTTCTAAACCTGCTACAGTAGTTTATATACATAAATTATGTACCTTTTGAGAAGGTAGCCTATTCGTGGGCATGGTCAGAATTTATCAATGGAATAGTTCCAAAGCGTGCTCCTATAGTAAATATGTCAAACATTTACAATTTATCACACGCATGCGTGCAGAAATGCTCTGGCTATCTGACCTGTGACTGACTCCCTGAGACAATAATCCACTGTAGAAATAGATTCCCGTTTTGTTTTCATGTATACGTTTCTATACCAATAGCGTGTCAATTACAAACTACTATTGACAACCGTGTTATATACACCCGTGTTGGAGACAATATGTACTGGGTAATATAGGCGTTTGTGAATTACGTCACGTGATATGACAACGGGATGACACTTCCCACACCTAGTAAAATCACCGTAGCTCACTCCTAACCCCTATTATAGTTCCTCTTTCAACCTGCTTCACATCTTGTTAGATTGATTAATGACAGTACATATCATTTTGTCATCGATACTTGTCGATAAGATCAGTCATATCTGTGATTGGCAGAAACAGATACGGATCCATGCATCGTTAATAGTGGGTAACGTTAGAGACGTACGAAGGTACGTAGCGTATGTTCCATGACGTAACTTGGGAGATGATGTTTCTTAAATGGATCTGAACAGGCTTTCCGTCATCTGATTTGTATGGATGTGTTATGTGGGTAATGTCAATGATATAATTATCCGTTCAAATATTACCACATGAGTGATTTCAGTGATGACACGAAATAGAAACTACAAACAGGCCTGGACTTGTTCAACACCTACACCTAATAGACAACAGCGAAACCTTACTGAGGCTTGAAACCTCTTCGGTACAAGAACAGATCGATATCCACGTGTATATATGCGAGTGAGACTGTATGGATTTCGGCCGCTTTTAGCTAAATTCCAGCTTTATCAAGACAGGGACACCAGAAATTGGCTTCGCAAAATGTGCCAATGTAGGGAATCGAACCCGGAACATCGACGTACGGGTAAATGCTTTAACCCATGGGCTACCCAACTGCTCTGAAGTATATGTAAACAAGTAGTCTGCTACTTATAAATAACACTATGACAAATTATTTTGGGTGGGGTTTTAAACCATCACAGTCAACTTCATCAATCAATCATCAATCAGAGTCAACCTTTTCCTAAACACCTGCTAAGTGGCACTCTGAATACACGAAGAAATCAAACCCGCATATTTAAATACAATTCACACCGTATCGAGATAAATTACAGTCAATTGGAATGCACTCCGTATGTTTACAGATTCAAAATATCGACCAAAACATGCGCATATCCATTGAGAATGCTATAAATCATTTGTAACATGCATTCATTGTGCCAACAAAGATCAATACAGTCACAATAGATTATTTAACGCTGCACCATTGACACTGTATTGGTAGCGATTACAGTCCTGTGTCGCATATATCACCGATGTATTGAAATACACAAAAGTACATCACCAAAGGAGATCAGTTGAGGTAATGTACAACCTTTAAATTGCACTTGGTGAACCTGGCGCTAATTATGAGCCAACGTTGTTCGACTTTAATTTCGGAGTGGGTCGAGTTTTTAAGGGAATGGCCACCAGTCAAAGGAAATGTATTACCGACGACAAAAAGTCAGGCGGGATGAAAGACAACATTAGTCTGACGTTGAAATTGAAGACTGTTTGATGTTTATAAGGCGATGTAAATAGATGTGGTGTTTTATGACACTTGGAGGTATTGCAATCATAAAAACAAATGCACTGATTGCAAAGAAAGGGTTAAGCAGAATTAAACGCGCTCCCAATTTCCACACAGAGAACCGCATACCAGACATTGTTATTTGATAAAAAAGGAAGCGTCATAAAAAACATGTTTTTTTAAAGATTTTCAGACTATCTAACAGCTGTGAGACAGCGGTAGTTGCAGTGATAGCTGTCGGGGACGCCGGAGACAGGCTCGATCTGACGGAAACCATGTCCATGAAGGGATCAATCAATCGGAGTGTGTCTTTAAACCATTAGCAGAGAAAGCCTTACCTATAATTATCTGTCATGGAGGCGATGGGTTGGTGTATAGAGGGATACATGCTGTTGGTGAAACTACTGTTGATGGGGAGACGTGTGGCGCCGTTGGCGACCTCGCGACGTTGGTTACGGAGTTTCTCCTCGCGACGCCATTTTGCCCGACGATTTGAGAACCACACCTAATAAAAAAACACATTTGCATTTCAGAGAAGGTTTAACGCTACAAACGCATGTTTGAAAATACCTACGAACAACCACGTTGTACAATGGAATCTGAATGTTGAATGCTCAAGGGTATGATGACTGATTTCAATATTTGTCAATAAATAATTGCATTTGATTTTCAGGAGAGATATATAAACTGGAATAATATACAAATATAATATAATAAGTATTATCGAGACAGAACCATAGAAACAGAATTCATGAACTCTCCATTTATTTGTTTATTTGTAGAATTAAGAATGTATGAGGGATCTTAACTCAAGTATGCACACACACACACACACACACACACGCGCGCGCGCGCACACACAAACGTATCTGAAGATAGAAAGACGCATGAGGCACAAACCTGTATACGTGCTTCGGGAAGATCGATTTTCTGTGCTAAACGCTCTCGTGCAAACACATCAGGATAATGCGTTCTTTCAAATTCTGAAACAATAAGATTTCATAAAATATAAATATTGTAAGAACGATTTGTCAAATGGGTTTACTTCCTTTAATATTGTATATGCAACTTGTAAGTCCGATGAGAAGCTGGTACGGTATTCGTAATTAGAACCTACGGAGGCGGTAGTGATGAACGTTTGTGGGAATGATACGAAATATCCCATTTATATCAAACACCACAATGCCTGAGAGAGAAATATGACAATTTGTGAAAATAAAATCAAAGACAGAAAAATCGAAAACTGTCAAGTTGAATTTTAGCATTTACGTTGTTACTCCAGTATCAATCGAATCTAAATAATTGTGCTCCGGTAAATTCGATTTGGCCGATATAAGATGGATTTTTAGCGAATATCCGAAACACGGGATGACCCCAAGATTTGACATACAGACGTGTTCAAGCGATTAGTGAGATCAAAGCGAATTACAAGTTGGAAATCGATGAGATTTGTACTCAGATTAATTACCGTCAGGCAAAAATGAGCAATTACGTAAGCAGGAATGTACTGCAGTTGCGAGGATCATTGATTGTACATTGGCCGTATTGGTGAAATATTGGCTTCCATGGACTCTCAAACTGCTCAGATCTAACGAAGTAAAACGTGCTTAGTGATACTGAAATTATTGAACTGGCCATAGGAGTGGATAAAAATTACACGTTAAAGCTTATGGTTGGCGGGAAGTTTTGTACAATTATGGAAGTCCTATGACGCGAGACTTTACATATCTATTGTGTGACCCCTGAAAAGAGTAATGCATGAGTGTGTTATCATTTTGACGCCAACTGAGATTTGAAAGAATCGGAATAACATGAAGAGAACATAACCATACATATTTGTATGATATATGAAATGCAAAAGTACTAAGTATAAATTCCCGCTCCCTCGACATAAAAGGATGCCAGTGGATTCCAATAGCATTTTTATTTAACAAACAAGGTTGAATTCATTTAGGTGATTTGTAAAAAGTATATATTGTGCAGTGGTATCCTTGAACTCAACATCAGCTCTGTTCACTTCAAATGGTTCTAGCATTGTACATTCAGCCTCTGTAGTATCAATATTGTCACGTGTTTAATCTTTATGATCATTATGGGATTACCTTTCTCAAGTGATTCAATCTGAGCAGCAGTAAATGAAGTTCTATTTCGCTGTAGCTTTCTCTTCAATCTCATCCGCATCTGTTCATCATTCTCGCCGGTCTGACCATCACTGGGACTACCCGTGGAACCAGCGCTGCTGTCGTCTGAAAAAATACAGGTTTCACGTGACAACGGTATCTTCAACTGATCCTTGCTGAGAAAAATGATAGGGGGAGTCTTTCACTCAACGCGTCACAATACACTGTAATTCTTACTTTTCTCTCTAACTCCCCATTGCAAGTGTGACACAATACACCCTAAGCTTTAGCACTGGTTTGCTCTCCTGGACCCAAATGGTAGGAGTTCTGGCGGAAACCGTTCAACATATCACATTACAACGTTAGGGACGCGGTTCGATTTTTCCAAAGAAAAGGGGTGCATTTTGACCTTCTGTGTCGTAAATCTGCCTCGCGATCATGGCTACGGCTTTACGGAGCGCTATATTTCATAGCAAGGGAATCACGGGAGCTCAGCTACTTCACAGAGACGGGTATTAATCTTCAGTTTTGCAATGGCATGCACAAAATAATTGATGCCACTGGATGGCTTTCAAGGTCACACTGCATCAAAGGTCAAGACGTGTAATCATTGACGTAACGTCTACAAACGGCGTAATTTCCACAGCTAATGATTAGTTACTTCTGCGCATGAGCGCTCCTTCCTGTTTCACGTGGCTCGTCCTGACCTGTCTACAGGTCAAGGAAGTGCATTTGTAAGTGAGATGACGACGAATGAGCGACACCGCTAAGACAATATCACGCCGGACGCAAGCGACAGTCGTAGCGCGTTCTGCCAACATAATTTTCTCTAATGCATGCCAGCACGTGCAAGAAATACGTCATCAAAGACCTTTACCACGTGACCTCCTTGCAGGTCGCTGCAAAGAGTGCCGTCTTTATATTTGTATATGATCAGCGAAGTGTTCTTTTCTGACACACTATGGTCATGTCAAAGAATTATTAAAATAATAACTGCTTTCATTATGTTGCATTAGTCTTTCAAACTAACAGGCCTTAGCCTCGTCCCCTCAAGGCTTTGATCATGCGCAGTCGGCAGTAATCTTGTAGCTGTACACAGTGCACGAGCTACACGACCAAACACAATCACGCGCTAAAAGGGACTGTCGAATCAATTAGCTTTGTCAAAGTTTTCTGACATTGTTGCCGTAAAGGACAGGCTGTGAGAAGGGAAGTGCTATTACCATGATCTAAAGTCAACTTTTCTCAGAGATATTACTGCAGTCTTTGTCATAATCAAATCTACTTTCAGACTCCATAGACTTGTCATAATCTGTGAGCGCCTCGTATTCGTCATACTTCCAGTACCAAGTCACAAGCAATACATCTCTTTCTGTTTGTATAATACTCGCCGGCACAAGCTGTAGGCTTCGTTGTGTTTACAATGAAATGATTGACTTGGATCAATGCGCATTTCAATGAGTTTTCTGAGGAAAGTTGACTCTAATTTGTATTAAGTGGACGGGACATTGCTAGTTCTCGTGGCCAATTTCAATCATGACAGAAAACGACGAAAAATCTAAATAAAGAGGATTAAGCCAAATGATTGGCAGCATTCGTGTCCATATCATTTGTGAAATCTACAAATCATTTTGCTCGGCATCGCGCAATTATCAATCATTGTTTTAGTAAATAACAGTTTTGCGGTTTCCTACCAGCGCCCCGCAGAGAAATACACAAGAATTATCACTAGATCTGTCTCTTTACAGAACATCAAGGGCCCCACAGGACGCGTGGGGGAAGCATCACAAAATCAAATGAATGTATTGCATATGAATAGTTCATGTATTTTGGAAAGTATCCTATTTTGATCTTTAATGTAGCAGTGGATGACTTGCATTAGTACAAAATATACATGCAGTCATTTCAAGAAAGAAATAAATGAAATAAAATCTATTCAACTGTTCATGAATATATTTTTCACTATTCGCGTCCACATTACAAATAATTAGAGAAATGGTCTTTCTATAAATCCTGAAAAGCGGTGGTCTTCAACGGGGCAAGTATTGATTCCGAGACAGAAGTTATTTGGCAAGAGGATAAAACAAATTAACGTATTTCATTTCTCGCTTTTATATCTTTACCCTTCCGTATATAAACATACTTAATCTTACAATGAATTATCAATCAAGCAAACAGCGTCCTTGCTAAAGGATTTGTGGCTATCGATAGCTGGCCTGATCGAAAATGGAACAAATCATGTATTTTTGATACTGATTGATGCACTTGAAGTATATTTCCCTCCACCAGTTTGGCTGAGGGTGTTGCGAGCTGGACACAGGGGACTTAGGTGTAGAACCCGGACTAGCCTCACCTATAACCACCACTAACAGTATTTACAGCCTTGTAGCGTCGGACGTGATGGAACACTAAAACTACTTAAGGTCATTTTCCGAGACTCCTTAATTGAAAAGAAAGAAATTGAAACTGCTAGCTTTCTGTCGGGGTCCGAAAGGCTGTTTTCACGTTTTCATGGCTCATTTGGTCAGCTCTGCAGATCTTGCTAGACCATTAGTCTAGGTGACACAACATATCTCATGTAGCGCGTTGGCCAAGTTGTGATATAAACGGCTCTTCGCCCGTCTCCCCGATTTAAGCAAGCCTGCGTCTGGTCTTTAGAAGGCATCTCCGAGGCTCGCATACTCTCAACCCCGACTCAAAGATTCCGGATACTAACTGGCGTTGAGTCGCAACACTGTAGCGTATTAGACGTGCAACCAGCGCATGTATTTCTTGATAAATAGCTGGTATTGTGGCCTTCGGCGACTTGCTGCATTCACACAGAACGATTAAGTGCTCAAAAGTACTAAACATATTTATACGCGGCAACAAAAGAAGTCCCCCTATCGAGGGAAAGCAAAGAGATGAATTGAATGGCGGAGGCCTTCTCAGTCCAAGGGATTTAATCGTTTCTATTCTCCTCTTATTTACCTGCGCAGGGATTAAGAGGAACGTGTGAATAGCGAGCCAGACATGTCGACGACATTGAACAATGGCCAGAGGGTTTCATCCCTGGTAAAAGTCATTGGTTTCAATAACAAAAATACGCGATTGTTGCGTCGATGAATGCATCGATGTCGGACCCTTAGCCGTAATCGTTATGGACTCGCTATCGGAGACTGGTCATTTATCAATACGTGTTGTTACATGCTTTTGATTAATTTCTACAATTTTTAACAGCAAATTCCTCCAAGCTACGCCTTCTGCAAACACGTGGTGAGGGGTGCTGTCTGACATGCGCAGATGGTTACTTCCGGTCCCATGGCTGGCCCCCGGCTAAGCGGATATAGGCCATGATTGGACTGAGATGCGTCCCAAAAGGTCGATTAACTCTTAATATAACTCAATTAAAGTTACATAAGTACATAAATGAGGAGAATAAAGTGATAGAAAGGGGAGACAATAACTCCCGACTCAGCCTGTGGCTATTATTGGAATGCTGTAATCTGTGATAGCGCGTAGTGGCTATTACGCAAAGAAGTACGGGGGTAGGTGTAACAGTTCTTTCAACTATGCTGGGGACAAGGATTTGAGAGAAGACCCCACGGGAGGCTGTGAGGGGATTACTACCAATTGGGGAGGCTTTTTTGTAGCCAGGCGTAAATGTTGCGTGAAACTGACCAGACTGTCACGAACGGTCATCGCCTGCTATTGGACATTGATTCGCGTATTGATGGGTTAATCTGGATGTAATACACCCCTTACCCCCTGCGTCTATTCCCTACCCATGTTATGTATGCCCTGTCCCTCGTGACATTGCTCCCCGCCCCTCGCTATCCCCATCTCACACATAATAATGCCACACACGTTAAGACAAGTTTAGATAAGTCTAAAGTTCCCATCAGTAGTAAAAGTGGCACTTTGATTGTCATTGATGTCTGAATAAAAAAGCCATTGTTTGGCACCTCATTGTTCTGGCATATGTACATTACGACATTAACGCAGTGCTGTACCAGAAGCGGGACCGACATAATAAAATTTACACTTGTGGGGAGTTGTATTTATCGCCCCCAATAGAGCGATACATGCCTTCCATTAATTTCAAACAATTTTTTCAGACGGACATAAAATAAATGACATGTTATACAAAGAGTTGTCCTCTATGATCAACACCAACAGTGTTGTAGGGGTGATAGATGGGTGTTCTGTGCCCAATACACTGCATTATGTTGGATACAACTAAGATGAAGAATGCATTGTAAGCATTTAAGAAGCAATATCCATCAAAACCTACTGATTGGCTAACTTACCCTGTTGAGCGGGCCTACATTATGGGGGTTACAAGTACCATTTAGCGTTCTATGAGAAGATGGTATTAACCATGCTTGAATAGAAGTTATGACGACCTTTCATGTCTGTGAAAAGGTTACATAGAATTGACATACAGATTAAAAGATGTCACGTCATTCATATGTTCCTTTCAAGTATTAATGCACGCATCCCTGTTAATCTCAACAGTGAATTCCACCGTTAATGTCCAACTAAGGCTGTTCAGTTTTATAAAACGTTTGTTTACATGCATTGGTACACTAAAAGTAAATTCTTTCTTCTTATTACCAAAACACCAGATAAACAGTTTAAGTGCAGAAACAACAACAAAAAATGTTTGAAATAGGATAATTGTCTGTGAACGCTGCTAATTAACATAAAATATTGAGCAGTACAGCTCAAGTAACAGTTTCAACAGTTTTGTCTTTCATTTCAGTAACAGTCTACAAGTTATACTGAGATACAAGTTATACTGAGATACAAGTTATTCTGAGATACGTTGCATAAGAAATGCAACATATGTGCTCTATAAAGAGGTGTACCAATGATACATTTTTATGTTGAAAAATAACAAAGAAAATACAGATATGTGTTATATCTGCTGCATTCGTTTCCTATCTTGTCCATTGATAGGTAAGTAATAATGCTTCCAATCAACATCACCTTTAGGATGCACAAAGACATGACTTGTGGTGTTTACACGGAATGCCGCTCTACACGGAGCTTAATAATCACTCGTAACGCCTACTTGACTGTTAGAAAATGCAATATTTGTATATTTAATCACTACACAGTATTTACACCCATGTTGTATCTCCTGGGCACAATATCTTTGCCTATTACACGAGCTGTTTTACCTGTCTTTAAAATACCTTTCATATAAGCCATGCGGCTTTGTGCCATGACCTGTGGAACGCATAATATTCATTTTCAACCTCATACAGTAAAACATTACCACATCCTTCGCAAACCCACAATCAACCAACAGCGTTCATTTCATGCAATATTGCTGGAACCATAATGTCTTTGTTACAAAAAACTCAATTCCTTCAATCAAGAAATTCATAAAGACAAAAGTTCATACTTACACTTATTTTTCTTCTCAGATGCCATTGGGGAAGTTGTTTGAGGAGGGGGGTAGGCAGAAGGAGCTCCGAGGCCCCCGTGCATGGAAACTGTGGGTGTATACCAAGGGTTTGGCCGAGGCCAGCCCTGCCCGTTCAGTAGACCAAGTTTATCATACATGGAACTCTGGCCCATAACTTTCTGGTTTTCACTGGCCAGTGTCCGAAGGACACGATTGATTGAAGATACCTGAAATCAGAACATAAATCAAAATTATTTGGAACTAAACTTTGTTGTGTTCTGTAATTTACTTACGAATTCTACAGACCTATGTTAATTTCTAGACTGTTAAGCGTCATAGTGCGTGGCACCAATACTTACATCTCGTGAAAGACAAGAAGGAAAGGTTTACAATTCTGCATCCCCACTCAAGTATTTCTGTTTCTGTCTATGAATAGTAATTGTTGAAATAAAGCCTGTTTATGTGATATAAAATCCTGGTTCTTTTGCATGGAGGCGTTTGAACATGCCGTGGATTATTTTTATTATTACATTTAACATGAACAACATAAAGACATTGGAATACACTGATGTTAATATTGAACTAAAATTAAACTTATGTTTTAAAAGTATTACACATGAAGAACAGTACAAAGCCTATTTGCATTTATTCCGTTCATTACCTGTCTCTGTTTCGATCGCTCAAAACTTCGATCGCTCTAAAATCATGTAGTTATTAAATTAAAATATTGAAAGGCATGTTACCATTTTTGTTTGAAAATAATGAAATAGCACATTCTTAACATCAAGAAAAAGAACGCCATGATTGACACGATTCATATTTGTGTTGCTTTACTTTCGTATTAAAGTTCACGTAAATAAAATACCCGTAGAGACGAATGTATGTTTAGACCAACATGAACATTATAATCTATGATAATCCCTTTTATGGCTTATTTCAAAGAAATATTTCATGCTTAAATAATTACAATATGAAAAACAAGTATTGAAATTTAATACATTTAATTAAATCACTTTACACAGTTGAAATGAAAAAATGAAGTCATAAATGGAAACTGCTATGTGTTTTTTATTTCAAATGATATTAACATTTTTGTTCAGGTGAAACCGCTGTTTCATATAGACTTGTAGATCATATATTGAATTGATATCTGTACATGAAAAAACCCACAGAATTGATACGCGTAGAATGCACTGTTCTACCGATGATTCAGATGGCACTATTTAGCGTGCATCTGTTCACTTCCACGTGTCAGTTAATGGATCAAATACAGTAAATTTAATTTAATACTTTATTAAAATCATATAGTCTTCCAAGGTTGCCAAGCAGGTGTAATGTTGTACACGTGCATGGTTCCAAACAAAGGTATCATATGAAGAACGTCATGTTATTATCAGTAATCAGATTCAACTAAAATAGCAATCGGTTTTTTTGTGACAAAACTGAAATGTACAATATAGCATTATCGTGTAGCAGAATTTGCTAATCTTAACTGGGTTAAGGTTAAAAATACATCTTGATACAACCCACAATCTCTAATATTAGCATGAGAAAAACTGAATTCACATTCGTCACCATCAATTACATGCATCTGAGTCACTCTGGTATTAGATGATTGCTGACACATATTTATTGAAAATTGAAAATTTTAGATGACAGAAATCTTATCGATGTGTTTCACATTTGCAGAAAAATTAAAGAACACATGTTAAATACTGATTCAGTATTTGATGGCAAAGGTCTACGTAAATATACACCGACTATATACAGCATGATCCGTTTATAAAACATTAAGTTAAGTTTATACGGAGGGATTGGTAATGCATATTGTAGGATAAGAAGTTCTTATTTCTTTATTACATTAAATACTAAGATGATAAATGCAACAACAATATTAACAATGGCACCATTCGGGAGTATCTATAAAAAACGACAGTGAGAATACATAATCTTGAGTGCATAACAATTGTCAATCAAGATGATTCACAAAATGACAAAACCGCGTGAAAGTTCGTTATCCATTTGAGACAAGCCTTGTGACAAGATACACATCCAGCCCGTCAGTTGTCAGGCCATACAGATATCATTAGTCCCTGTTTATGTCTACCGTTATGACGGCTGTGATGGATTTATTAGTACGAAACGTATGTCCTAATGCAAACAGTCTTCTCTGACATACCCTGCCAGGTAAATACTGAAATGGCATGGGGAAATTCCTGACCGCTGTTTCTCGCCCGACACTCATTCATTCAGACTATTTTGTCAGGGGATGGTGTAAGTGTTTTCTCTTCGTGTGTCGCAAGCCCACATCTTGGCGTATAATTTATTATGTATCAAGAAAAATATGTGTGGCGAGGTAAGCATTTTTTTGTGAGGAATGACACGAAATTTGGGAATTGACATATTTCATACAAACAGTATAATAGATGGTACATATTTTTTTTAAATGTAGAGCTTGTTTATGTGCATGCTGTTTCCAGTGATAGCATATGTCAGATAATATTTGTTTGTAATAACGAAGATGGGAACAATTCAACTTTTTTCCTCAAGGCATCAGGAGACACAGATCGTCCCAAACAGCCTTAAAGTATGATGCATGACAGAATAGGTATACTTTTAAATTAAACAAAATACATGATAAAATGAAATATTCCAGAAAACATCAAGGAATTTAACAAAAATATACCGCATACGTATTGTAGATATGCGACTGTACGTAGTGAACATAAAAATAGGTATTTTGCTTTGCTTATGTATGGGTATATTTAAGACATTTGGAGTAATTATATTATCGCACACGACTACACATTGATAATCTAATATCCTGACGTTATTTGATATATTTATAGTTTTGTGATTACATAAACTGCTTTCGTGATTCTTAACTGTCAGTTTAATACACAATCTTTCACACAAACTGAAATATACATGGAATAAAGGCTTTAGTAAAACTGATCAAAACTCCAATAAAAATGATGAAACACGCCCTTTATATGAATTGAAATTGGAGACAGGCACATTTGTTATCTAATGCAAACAATCAACCCTGAACCAATCGTCTTGAAAAGAAATATTTCAAATTCTGAGACTTTTGATGGAAAATACTATTGAAAATGAATTAACGTCAAAACAGGCGAATATTTTAAAGTGAGATTTATTGGTAAGATTGCGGGGCCATCTCTCAGTCTCAAATCACATAAGAGGGTCCGTCTTGTCGCAGTTTCCGTCCGTGACTAGACCACGTTAGTGCGAGTTCTACTGCTTCAAACTCCCCCCTTCTTTTTTAATGTTTTCTACAAATTTTGCGGTTGACTAGGTTTTCCCGGTGTGGCCATGACAACAAGGAACTCTCTTGAAAAGGAGACTCGATTTTTCAGAGGAGCCAATCACGGCCTTTGTAGCAGCCTCACAGGACTCCCCAAATTAAAAGTGTCATAAAATTTTACTAATTCAACCCCCTTGGTGATTACAGGACTTTGCAGAACTGGAATTTTTAATCAGAGATAATAACACCGATTTTGTTATGTGTTTTAGTAATCAGCGACTTTTGTTTAACGACTTTGTGTCAGATATTATTCGTAATAAAACGCTTCCAGAGGTATTTAATATCTGCAAGAAATCTAGGAAAGGGCACATTTGATAGTTTCTTTGTGTGTGTGGAAATACTACATGATCTAACGTAAAGAGTCTTAATATAGTCATTACTCGGGTAATTATCATTCTAATAATGTTTATGTTTTGGAATAGAGCAGTAGATAAAAACACGAGAGTGCATTCCATGTTTGTACAAGACACAGCGGCAGTGTACATGCAATCACAAATACCAACTACAAACTATATGTAACAAGTCCAGACAGCGTTGGCTACCAACAATCTAGTTCCCATATGTCATGTCTACATAAACAATAATGTTTCGCCAAGGTACATGTATTCAGAAACATTCATCCTAACCTATTTCCTTTGTTCGGATTCAATTAATCTCTATATTACTTATTCATGTATGTTCAAAGACGTGCCAATACGTATTTAGCAGTGCGTATGCAATAAAACAATCGCAACCACAGCGATAATATAACCATCCTGGTTGTCAAATAGACCAAGGGAGGAGCATGTTCTATATATATAACCCTTTGGAAGGAAGAAAAGGTTCTGTTAACACTCTGAATATATGTTTAAAACATTTAAAAGATAGACAGACAAATCTCTACAACGTTTTCAACTGAGTTCGCAATTGTAATTTTATTTTAGATGGCACGCTATGAATTACACATGAAATGTCAACAAATATGGCAAGTGTACATAGTTATATTACTTAGATAAAATGCAAAATATATTGAAAGACCTGTCGTCTGTGCCATTTATGAATGTGTTTACAGAAAGACATTAACATATATTTATCTTTACATTTGAGTATGCAAATTGCAAATCAGACATAAAGATAGAACGAATAAAGGTAATTGCAGCTTCAGTGTAAATGGTCAGACACTAGATCCAGGGGTTTGTGTTGGCTGGAGTAACACAAAATAGAAATACCTTTCATCATTGTAAAACTCAGAAAGTACGACGCAAATGACATGTTTATCCAAAGACAGGTGACCACTGACAGACACTGTGTCTGGAGGCAGACTAACAGAAAGATCCTTCACTGGACTCAAACTCAGAAAGTACGAGGCAATGGACATGGTTAATCAAAGACAGGTGACCACTGACAGACACTGTGTCTGGAGGCAGACTAACAGGAAAGACCCTTCAAGACACTAAACCCCAGAAGGTACGAAGACATGGTTACTCAAAGAAAAGTGAGCACTGACAGATATTGTGGCTGGATAAAGCTACAATGGAAAGATCCTTCACCAGACTCAAACTCAGAAAGTACGAGGCAAAGGACATGGTTACTCAAACAAAGATGAGCTCTGAGAGGGACCGTAGCAGCGGTGAAATGGGAGCATTTTCCTCCATGAATGATAAAGTATCTCGGGCTGAGAGCACCTTGCGGGAAGACGATGATAATTAAGATTTCTATTCGTATCATTGAGATGCCGCCACAAATTGATACGCAGGCTAGAGTCTCCCAGCTATTTGGTCTGTTTCCTTCAAGACGGGCTCAATCTTCTGTCTCTTCTATTGCTCCCATAGGGAGCTCGCCAATGAATTTCACTTAAGATATCTTGTCGCCAATTATGCCCCTTCTGTCATCAATTGTGTAGATTTAGTAGGGGGCAGAGTA